AAATCAGAGAAACAGATGACAGGATTTTATCCATTATGTTGTTTTTTTTATTAGCTTGGTGGCTTTCAGCTAGCTGTGTGAAGCTGGTTCATCCTTTCCTTCATATTTCCTTCTGGAAGTAGATGAGCTTCACTATGATCTATTATTATTTTTATGATTTGAAAAAATGATGTACATAACTTTTCAGGAAATGAATAGAAAAATAAAAAATGGAAAATGCAATTTCACTTTCCAATTCCTTTCTATATCTGTGCAAATGTGTTGGCATTTCTGTGCTACCAGAGAGGAGGGCCCTAAGCTTAGCAGTTTGTGATGTGGTTTTATGGCATTCATGTAAAATAACTGCTCAGTCAGCAGTTGGAGTTCATTGACTGATTGCTGTGTGGCCTTTTAGCTGTCAGATGGTGCTTAATTGCATTGTACTGTTCCAGGTATTTCCCACGTAGTGCGATTAGTAGGGCAGGGTAAACTGACTGCATAAAATGGAAAAACACGGGCAAGAAACTTTGGCAAATTGCTTCTGACCACCTAAATATTATTTTTTTTTTATTATTTTTTAAGGGACAACTGGCTCTGGTCAGAGGAAAAGCAAGGGTGGTAAAGTAAGCCCCACCAATTTCTCATCGCCTGCTCCTGGTGGTCGGCTGGGTGGCAACGTTCAGCCAAATGGAGGGCTGACAATAAGGGACCCTGCAACGGGAGCACAGTATGTGCAAATTCAGCTTCTTCAGGTGAGAACTGAGGGGAGGAAACATCTTTACCCTGTTATTTTAACTGGAGCATCTGTAGAAGAATCGAAACGTGTACTCCTCTAGATGGGAATCAGAGATCTTCAGTGTGTGCTCTGTTCATCAGGGCACTTGCCCACACTCTCATGGGGAGTTTATAAGAAAAATGGCTTTAGAGCAGTCTGGAAAAGCCTGAAAACAGAGCTGATTCAATCATGCAGCTGCTGGGACTAGAACCAATGGGCTGTGGAATTAGATATTTTTATTTTGTTAGCGCAAATATTTTCAGTCCAGCCTGGATCATGCAGTGGGCACTGTAACTGCAGGGAGGAGCATTCTGTTCATCTTCTTGGGCACAACTTTTTCTTCTAGTCTTTCTCTCTGCTGAGAATGTGTGCACTCTCTTCTTGTTCCCTCTTTCCACTGAATGTTTCACATTGCTCCATCTCTCTCATATACAAAGTTAATAAAGGTGATGTGAAGATTCTCACAAAATGAAGTTTCAGCTGAAACTGATTTTCCTCTTAACAGCTGAAATAAAAATTAAGATTTCTCTGTCTAAAAGTACCTAATAAACTGTGTGGACTGATTAGTGGAGTGTTTTGAGCAGTACATTTTTAGCCTGGTACGTATCTGTGTAGTATCCAGAGAGATGATATGTTCTTTCTGCTTTGTTCCTAACAAGATTTGTTACAGAAGAAGCAATGGGGGGAGTTCTTCATTTCTGGTGGGTGTAAATGTAACATTTCTGTTAAGTATGACCTTCACGTAGCATGGTGAAACTTGTAGCTTATGTCTGAGCCTTAAATATAATGGAAGGTGAATCATTTCTTGCCTTTCAGATCGTGACAATTTTCCAAGTTGATTATAATAGGGACAATAGGTTGTGCACTGAATAAGGTTTTAATTTAAGTGGTAGTTAAGATTTCTCTTATCTTTGTGGATGTAGGCCTTACACTAGTACAGTGCAGTGGTTTTATCAATTTTTTTAAGACTCTGGAGTTGAATGGAATTTACTGTGCTGAGATGCTTCGAACTCTTCTAACTGCATCACATTTCTGCCTTCACAGGATGATCCCTCAGGAGAGGGAGATTTGCCCTTTCAGCTGAGCTCTCAGTCCTCCTCATCACATTCTCAGCTCACGGTGGATTTACCTGTTCACATACTTCAGGTACAGCATATCAGAGCCACTGGGTTTTTTGGCCTTGCTTGAAAAGTGAATAGTTCATTCTAAACACTGATGTTCTGCTTAATGGAAACACCTTGTTTACTACTAGGAGTTCAGATTCAATTGCAGGAAGTAGAGAAGTGTACTGCAAGGCTTATCTTGTGTGTGTTACCAACCTTTGACATGTCACAGGTGGTTGTTTTTCTACCTCTGTTAGTGGTAATGAATAACAAAATGTTACTAATTTATTATTGGAGTGTCCCATCCTTATTATCCTTACCCTATCCTGCAGATACTGTGCAGGTCAGGAGAGAGTATCAGAACTGATATGTGTGTAATGGCCTGCAGGAAGGGTGGGAAGTGAGAAAACAAAATCTTGATTCTAGATGTCAGAGAGGTGTCTACTTTGGAATGGCAGTTAGATGAAGAAAAACAGAAAAGTGGTGTCTGAGTGGGTCACCAAAGTAGGAAAGGTGGGAACAGTGCAAACAATACAGAGCGTTTCTCTGATCTTGGGTTAATGTCAGGATGTTCTCACTGATAAGCATTAAGTGGTGAAAGTACTGAACTTCTATGCTGTTTTTTTTTCTGCTTCAACAGGAACCACACAATTCTGCTGAAGACGATGCAGGTTCTGATAACTCTCAGTTCACTGGAAGCACAATAAACTTACAGGATCTGGAATGACCATTATTAAGGACAGTTACTTGAAAGTTAATTGAGCAATCATGTCTCAACAAAATAAGATAACTCTGTGGGTCTTCTTCTGAAGAAAATAGAAAAACTAGGAGTACTGGATTATGGTTGCGCTTTTTGCAATTTGCTAAAGACAGTTACAGCTGAAAGGGTTTCTTAACAAGTGTAAATCCTACTTGATGTGCCTGTGTAGTATAACCCATCTGCCTAGTGGTCACAGCCCAACGCAGGCTGCTGTACAGTATTGTTTCAGGGAGAAGTACTCGATTAAACTTCAAACTGAGGTAATATTTACTGTTTTCAGAGGAAAGCAAGTATTCTGCAGCTAACAGAAATTAATAATCCTGCCTACGAGAGCTCAAACTTTCCTAAAATTTACAGATATTTTGCACGCACGCACGTGCACAGATTGTTCTGGCCCCCATGTTTTGGCAGAAAACTGGAATCAAGTGTCACATGTAACAAAGCTGATGCCCTACACCATGAAAATGAAACGTTCTAAGGTTTTTATTTTAGGAAGCTAGATTCTAAATGTTGACTTAGCTGTGAATCAGTTTGTAGCTCATGTTGAGTTTCTCCCTTTCCTTGTTCCCTCATCCCAAATAATCTGCTGAATTCTTCCAGCAAATCTTGAAAGAGAAACGCAATAGAATTGTACTCACTGTAAGTGATGAGCTAAGACTCCAACAATGTCTGAGAGAGGTTGATTTTTTATCTTTGTGTTCCCTTTTTTGGGACGGATTTTCACCGTCACGTAAATTAAGCACCTTGATTATGTCTCATCTACGAACTGCTGCCAAGTTGCTTGTAAACTGGCCACTACCTTCTTATTTTTTATATATTTTATTATTATTATTTTTTAACTCTGTCATCACTTGTTCTTTACTGATATCCCAAAGTATCACATGCATGTGGGGTTTTTGGCAGGTTTACAGAATATGCAGTTGTTACAATTTCATGGGAGGGGAAAAAGAGCTGTTAGCTAGTAAGATCTGCCCCACTGAAAAACTGCTATTTCTCCTGGAGGGCAGTGGAAGAGGTTGTACATACTGAACTTGACTGCAAACACCTGAGTATAGAATTGTATAAGGGGGGAAATAAAAACAGCCTTTGGTTACATTTTAAGGTAGTAATTTAAAGGTTTCTCATGGTGGTGTACTAAATGCCTATAAAATGATGTATAGGAATTTGATAAAACGGTGTATGTAATGTTTTTTTTTTATTCTCAATGAGGTGTGTGTGTATGCACATATGTGTCTGTTTCTACAGAATAAGGTATGTCATGCAGAAGAACATTGTGATCTTTCTAATCTTGCACATATTTATTTGACAGTTATACTGATGTTATATTCACATGAGGTCATTCAGAAAAGCTTTTACTTCCTGTGCCTTTTGAACTATGTATGTGTCCAGAAAAATGCTTTTTTTGGTTGATGACTTAATGAGGAAAAAAAAGTATGCAGGTTACATCCAACATCAGATCCCAATTTCTAGACAGTATTTTATCCTCTGGTTGAACCAGTTTTATTTTTCTATCTTTTGTTTAAGTATCTGAGCATTGAGGCGTCTCTGTTCCTTTCATCCTGAGTTTACAGCTTATGCCCAGGGATTCTTGTTACCCTCTCAGGTGGGGTTTCCAAACCAAACTCGCTGGTAGGGGAGGTCATCTACTTGATGGCTGTGACCACAACATAGAATCCTCTCCTGGAAGGTAGGAAGGTTGAGGAGGAATCATGCTGAAGGGACAACTGATTCTTGCTCAATGCTCATTGTGCTCTGTCTCTAAAAGCTGAGACTCCCAAGCTGCCAATGCCTGTGTTATTTTGTTCTCAAGGACCATACCAGTTCTTAATCTAATACAGTGGCCAAGGAACACTCCATCTTTTTATGGGACTTGCAACTTAATCTTTCTACTTCTGAAAATGTACCTCACTCAGCTTTGTAAATGAATGTAAAGTGCTAACCTCTTGGGGCTGACAATTGGATCACTTGGCTTGAAGTCCATTGCTGGCAATGGATGCCTGAAGAACTACTGGTGCAAAAGGGTTAATAAAGCTTTTTTTTATAGTCAGTTTGTCACTGGGTATTGTTCTTTATATGGTTGCACCTGACATAAAGCTAATGGTCAGTGGCTTTGTTTCTGTAGAGCTTGTGTGTTTTTTTTCTCCTTTGTTTGTATCTTCACAGTAGTGGAGTGGAGTCCACCAATCCATCCTTCAGATTAAGGCAGAGACTTCATTTTATAGCTGTTCACCTGATTTGTGGTTATAATAAATGGTAAGTGCTTGGCTTAGTTGTGCCGTGGCAAAATTGTTACCCAGGACACTGGTCAGGTTTTTAGGGATAGAGCTATTCGCATCAACAACTGAATGAGAAAAGTGTTGCTAGCAGGAGCCAAAGAAGCAAATTAAGAGCATTTTATTTTATTTCCTTAGTTAAGAAAAACAACGAGTGGTTGCCTGACACTTGCTCCATTCTTGGGGCCTTGCAGAACTAGGAGTTTCACGAGGCTATGAAGTTCTCACAGTGCAAATAGCTTAAGCCCAGACTGGAGCTACAGAAACCTTTTTCTAGAGTGCTATCAACCCTACCTTAAGTAGTAAAAGCTGTGCTGTCAAGTAAAATAGTACAGTATTTCTTCTTTCTCCTTATCCCTTTGTTCTTGGTTTTGCTTTTTCTTTTCCTTCCTGGCAGGTGGGCTGGAACGGAACATCAGCCTCCTGCCGGTCTGCGGAGGAAGAAGCAGCACGTGTTTGTTAGAGCAGCACCACGAGCCACGTGTATTGTAGGATCCTCTTGCTGCTGGGGACCGTGCTCCTTGCTAGCTGTTTTCTTGGCAGGGTTGAGTCCCTCCCCCCTTTAATGCCTGGTGTTTGTGTGCCCCATCTTCCCCAAAGTGGGCTGCAGAGGTGAGGTGTGTTCCTATGGATTGCTGCGCTTACCTTTTTCTCCATGATTGCCTGTGCTCTCTCCATGGCCCGTTGCAGTTTCTCCTCCTGCATCTGCTTCTGCTGTTGTTCCTTTTCCTCTCTCAGCCTTTTGAAGGGAGCAAAAAAAGGAGGTTGGAATGTGCACAGATATACAAATATGCTTTTGACCCATTCCTTGTCTAACAGTATAAGACCACTGGAATGCAGAGATTTGGATATAGACAATGCTGGGTTTAAATGCTCTTTGAAGGTTTTTGTTTCGTTAGTTTTTTGTTTTGATTTTTGGAGGCAGGCTGGGGCCAAGGTTTGGTCAGATTCATTCACAGATTCTTCTGTTCCATCCCCAGAGCAGAATAAGTGTGTCTTGCTTCATCAAATCACAGAATCATTTTAATTGGAAGGGACCCTTAAAGGCCATCAGTCCAACTCCTTGCAATGAACAGGGACATCCACAGTTCCATCAGGTGCTCAGAGCCCATCCAGCCTGACCTTGGGTATCTCCAGGGCCACATTTCTTTTGTAAGTGAAGAGTACAAAATCATTCACAGAATGTAGGGAGGAAGTGTTACATCCTTTCTATCATGAAGGCGAAGAAAGACTCAGAGAAAGAAGAAGGAAAATGTCACTTTGGCTTTAAATTCTCAAATGACTTTTCTTGAATGAATCTGATTTACCCAGGGGTGGCCAGATACAGTCAGCTCCCCAGTTACATCTTTGCTGTTTGCATGGGAACTTCCATTTGTGTAACAGAGCCAATGGCAATATCTAGGAACATAAATTTGTTGTGTTAATTGGCTCCTGTTTTAATTAAGAAGCACAATTTAAACTGTGGAGATCTGTAGAAGAAACATTTGAAAGCTGGCATTGCTTACAAGTGCCCTATATTCTTAAACAGAGGAGTCATTTTTTGTCCAATCAGTTCAAATATTATTAATTCAAATTGTCTTCTGTGCAAATTCGGTGAGAATCATAGTTTTGAGAAGACATTTTCTTCCAGATCTTGCCCTCCCATTCATGATACAGGCACATGCCTGGCCTCTCCTAATGCAGCTCTGGAGAGTGTGAAGTTATCAGAGAGCTAAATTGGGATGTGGGGTCCCCTGGGCTTTCAGATTACTGTTAATGTTTCCTAGGTTGATCTGACAAATTTGGCTATTTCAGGGGCTTTGATTTTGATTGTCAGTAGTTAAAAATAGAGGCCTCATTTCTAGGAGTTCTTGTCTTACCTCATTCTCTGTTCTTTTTTCTTGGCTTTTTCAATCTCTGCTACCTTTGCAGGTGGAATTCTTTCCAGGTTGTCCAGTAACTCAATGAGCTTTTTTTCTATTGCTGCTAACATCTGCACTATCTCCATGCCTTCCCTGCTTTCTCCAACGCAGTGACCATAGATCTCCCGCACCTTTTTTTTCAAGCTTGCAAGCATTTTATCCTAGAGAAAAGAGGAGGTACAGTGAGATGCACCAGCTGGATCCTGCATGGTTAGAACAACTATATCCCTCTAAAAGAATAGAGAAGGAAACCAGAATGCTTTCTCTTAGAGCTTGATTGTTTGCTTCTTGCTTTGCTTAGCAGTGCCTGGGATGGATGGCTACGGCTGGAGGAGCAGCTCATCATGGCTGTGCTGTCCTGCTTTACCTCAACCTTGGGGTGTACCTGGACATCAGCTTTGTGTTCTGAGGAAAAGTCTTCAACTTTGAACTTCAGGTCTGCTGCTCTCTCTTCCAGTTTGGTGACAGTGGATTTCAAGGTGAGCAAAACTTCTTCCAGCTGCGCTCTCTCTCGATCCCTGAGTCAGAAGAGAGAGGAGCTGTTTGGAAAACAGTATCTCAAAACATCTGGTATCTCTGCTGCTTCCACCCAGGTTGTCCCCGATGCTGCCGGTAGGTGGAAGCATCACTACACTCCATTTCTGGGCGACTTGCACCTCGGCTTGGAGAGCAGATTGGGTTTTTCTGGGATAGCAGTTACTGTGGGGGGGGGGAGAGGGAGCACAGCTAAGTAATGCTGTAGGTTTTGTGACGAGTCAGTGTGGGAAGTAGATTCCGTTTAAAAGCACTCACTTCAAACGAGAGGCACTTCAAATGAGAATAGGTGTGTCTACCTGCCATCTGCAATCACACTCGGGTCTCTGCTGCCTTCCTCTAGGAAGGATTTGAGTTAAAACAGGTGCTGGTCTGGATCTCTCAGGATGAGCCTTGTTTCTGCCTTTGATCTTCCCTTAGAAGAATTACACCATCCTTCCTGCTTACATCCCCCAGTGCTGCATGCACCAGCTCCCCAGCCTGTGCCTTCAGGACTGTACACCAAGGTGTGAGTACACCGCTTCTGATAGGGAAGACATTCTTTACAATAAATGTGGTGAGGCACTGGCAGAGAGGTGGTGGTGCCCCATCCCTGCAGACAGCCAAGGTCAGGCTGGATGGGCCCTGAGCACCTGATGGAGCTGTGGGTGTCCCTGTTCATTGCAGGGGAGTTGGACTGATGGCCTTTAAGGGACCCTTCCAACACAAAGGACCATTTGAAAGTTGGGGCAATAGGGACCCCCCTCCCACCACTCGCTACAGGATCACACTCACTTCCTTTTTTGTGTGTTGATGAAGATGTGTTGAAGCTCATTCATTTCTTTCTCTATCTCCTGGAAATTACAGAAGTAGGAGAAGTTCTGTTCCTCCATCTCCGTGAAAATAGACAGCAGTTGCTGGGGGTCGGTAAAATACAGCTCAGGCTCCTGAAACAGAAAATGTGTGGTATCTATAAATAACTGCTTGTGTAACATTGCAATAAGGATATAAGCAAGGTAAGGGCCTCGCCTGTGCTCCTGATCCCAGCTGTTCTTTCTCTGTCCATATAAACATAACTATGTAAACCTGGAGGCTTTGTCCTCAGCTCATCCTTGTTCTGCAGCTTTGATTTGAAGAAGGTGCCCTAAAGCTTGCATGTGTTGTTTAACAGCATTGGTCAGTATTGAAAAAGGTATTATTTTTCTACAGAAAAGTTGCCTAAATAACATGTAATTTGTAGCTCACTCTCGGAAAGAGACGTTTCCATGGTTTTTGGAATGTAGAAACCGTTCAATATCAAAATAAAATGTTTTTGTGACCCTTTTCTCTCTATTCCAGACGAAAACGTAAATCTGGGTGAGAGGAACGAGGGAAATGCCCCCTGGTGCCTTTGCTTACTGGAGTTATTTGTGGCTTTCCCCCAGCAGGACAGTCAGGCACGGCCCCCAAACACTGACTGCTATGTGACCCCAATTAAATGTGCTTACTTAGGGGATATTACCGAGCAGACCCTGGCCTACCTTAAAGAAGTTCTGTCATGCAGCAGAGTGGCTCGCTGGTTTCTTATGGCAGTGGCTGTGGGTGCTGAAAGGTGAGTGTTTTGCACCTGCTGATTTATTTATTTTTTTTTTCACTCCTGTAACCTTCTCTCCAGGGCCAGGCCTATTTCTGAAGCCCTGCCTCCTTACAGACAAGGGCAGTGAAATTTGTCCTTAGCAGCCAATGTGGTGAACTCAAGAAAAGCAGGTGGTAAGGCTCATTTCAGGTTGCATTTTGGTGACCAAAAAGTGTTGCAAACATTTGAGTGAGAAATCTTCCCTTCTGGATATAGTGAAAACTTCATTAATCTCAATGCCTCCTATTGATATCATATCTTGTTGCAGGGTGGGGAGCTTTGAAACGATGGTAGGGTTTTGGAAAAGAGAGAAGAAAAGCTAAGCCAAAATATTTAAAATATGGCTTGCTAAAACCATGAATATTCATACATAAATAAACATATAGTTATTGGCTATGGTAACACCTCAATCCCACAAAAAATGGTTAGAAGGTGATGGAAATCAGTAATGTCAGTATGTGACACAGGACAAAGTTAAATATTTCAGTGTAAGGCTTCTGACCTCATCTTCATCCGAGAAGGTTTCACTCTCTTGATCCTCCGATGAATTTCTGAAAAAGCATTTTGTGTTATCAGGCCCTCAGAGAAACGACAACTCAAAAGAGACCTTGTTAATATACCATGAGTGAGGCAAGCAGCCAGTGCTGACACCTACAAGCAGCCTCTGGCTCCAGCTGCAGGTAGCTGGCAGCTTCCCGTGTTGGCTGTTTGCTGCTGAACGTTCCCTGGAGCATTCACAAGTATGGCTCCTCTCGTCTGTGGACTGCTGAGGGGTCAGTAGGAGCTGTAACCTTGGCCCACGTGAGGGGCGAAAACCTCGATTTGTGTCCCCGTAGTGCCAGGCCCACCTGTGTCCCCATTGCTGCTGCCATGTGGCAGCAGCCCAATAATGGCAGTGGTTTTGTGTGAGGGGTGGCCCTGTCTATGGTATGGATGCCTCCTACTGCCTGGGGCCTGTTACTGAAAGATGGCAAGTGCAATGTCTGCTGTGTCCCAGGTCCTCCTCTGATGACCAAACAGGTGACTGTGGCCAACAGCGCGAACCAGAAACTCAGACACAAACAGGGCACAGAGAAGCTCTGCTCCAGGACAGTGCCCAGGTTCTACTTTAAGGAATAGGTTTCCTCTGTACCAAACTCCCAGTCAGTTGAGTGCTCTATTATTTAAGTTTGTTAAGGTTGGTTTGTTGTTTATTGTGTTTGGGTTTTTTTTGTCAAGTACTTACAGATTTTCTGTTGTGAGAGGTTTCAGGTGGCTTTTGAGCCATGGTCTGGTCCCAGATGATAAACTTGAGTTCAAACTTTCTGTGGACAGCAGAGAAATTGGCACGTTTATACCTCTTATATTCATCCCAATGGTCAGACCCTGGCCTGGACACAAGAGGAGATGGACACTTGGAGCATGAGGCTGCCCTGTAGAGGAGTGGGCAGCTCTGCCATGGTACTTACCCTTCTCTGAGGCACTTTCTTTGTCAGCTTTGGTTGCTGTCTTCAACTTCTTTTCATGTTTTTTTTCATATTCCTCCTGCCATTCTTTTGGAGATAGCTGATAGAGGAAGTCTCTGTACATCTTGTACTCTCGCAGAGAATTCTCAAATCTGGTTATATCACTGAGGTGGGAGAAGTGGGCAGTTTGTTAGCAGGAAGGAAAGCCCCTGCTTGAGCGGGTTCTTTTTAACCCTTAACACTCAACTACACCTAGAGAAACGACAGGGAGCTCATGTCCTCATGTGCACACGGAGATAAATGTGAACCTCTCTGTGTTGCAGGGGCTGGTAAAGACTAGGCAGGGATAGGGTGTGATTCTTACCTTTGGAGGCTCATTATTTGGGAACTAATTGCGTGGATCTCTACTATTTTCTTTGCTTTCACTGCAGATTCTTTTTCAGCACTAGAGAAAAATACAGCAAAATGAGCCACGAAACAGTTTAGCGATAAAGAGGGAGTGAGCTGAGATGCATATAGCACGGATAAAAAGATGAGGAGGAACCCTAGAAACCTCTCTATTGTAGGTAAAGATACAGCATCAGTGACACTGTCTCCTGCCTGAAGGCCCTGCCTTGGTAAAGGGAGCATGGGGTCCAGCAGCACTTCCAGGTCAGGATGTTCCTGATTTGGCTGCTGCTAAGCATCAGTTTCTGCTCTGCCTTTGTGTAATGGGCCAAAGTGCCCAGCTTGCTTTGCTTCGGGGTCTGTTCCTGCTGTGAGGGGTGAAGGAGAAGAGTCTGCCTGTTATAAGTATTGTGAGAAGTGGTGGGAACAATGGTGGATTCTTCTGCAGACAAATTGAAGGCTTCAGTAATGAGGGGATTCCCCAGCTACTGGTTCCTTCCTTTCTTTCATTGAATGTGTGGAGAGAAAATGCTACCAGGACTGTAACTCTGGGAAAACCCAGACGCAGGGAATCTGAGGTTGGATGCTATCCAAAACACTCTGAGAAATGTCAAGCAAAAAACCTCCTTTATCCAATGCAAAAGAGTTGCATGGATGGTTCCCTCAACTTCCATTACATTTTCAGGGCTTGAATGGAGCTTTTATGGTTCTCCTTCAGGAACTCATCAAATATGGCAATATCCTTCTCCAGGTTGTATTCAGCCTTTTCCAGTTTTCTTTCCTCTTTCTTTGCTATGTTCTCCAACTTTTGAATCTCTTCTCTCTTTACTGCTATGGCATACTGAAACGAACCCAAAGGATAACATGGTCACATTGATTGGTTGATACTAAAGGTGTGTTGGTTTGGCTTTGTTCTTGGTTACCTTCTTGCCTTATAGTTGTTGGCAGAGGGTAATGATTCAAACCAAGACATGTCTTAGAGCAAATTAGGTACATGGAGACCAGGAGGTATTTCAGAAGTAACACAACAAATAAGCAGTGACAAAGATGATTCAGCAGTGTTATAGCACAGCAACAGAGATGAACAATGGGGATATTCCAACATTATTTTGATTTCATAATGGCTCTCAGGGATAAATTATATGAGTAGAGCAAAAGCCAAAAGGTCAGTATATGTGTGTATTTTGCAAATTAAGGGGAAAATAATTGGATGGCAGCCACTGGATGATGTGAATGACCTATTTCATTTCTTAGTGGACTGATGGTCTATAGACTATAAGTGTCTTTAACACAGGGCTTGGACAATCAAGTTAATGAGATATGATATATGCCCTGCTGATGTAACCTCTAGACAATGGGTCTCTTGAAAACAAACAAAAACCCAAGGCAACAACGAAGGATAATTAAATGAGCAGAGAGTAACATTCCTAAAGAAAACCAAGTACCTCAAGTAAAAATATCTCTCTTCTGTCATTTATGTAGTCACGGAAAGTTTCTTTTTCTAATGGATAATCTGAAATGAAGACAAAAAATTCATCAGACTACAGGGAGAAATATGGTCATGCAAAGAACAGTGAATATGGTAGCAGCTATAAGCATGGATGTGGTTGGCATCGAAGCTAGCAAAACTGATTATTTTAATACCATTTTGACATTGGTTTTTTTCAGTTTCAAATGGACTCTGTAAAGACAAGTAGAATTGAGGGGAGAACCTTGTTCTTACAAAGATCAAATTTGGTTCTCTAGACATTAATGGCAAAGCTAGTCCTCTGTCAGAGGCAGAAAATGATAGGTTCATGTCCACCAAAATCCAGCTCCAGGTCAGCTTAGTAAAAACGTCCTCATTACATGAGGTCCTGCAAGCTGATTTCTGTACTGCCTCCCAGGGCTCACAGCTATTGTGGAAGCCACAGGGGATGCTGGAACCCAGGCTGCCCTGGTGGTAGGACATCTGCTGCAAATGTAAAGGCACGAGATGGACACAGCCCAACCACACACAGGCTGTCAAGGTGAAGCAGAAAACTACTGTGGCTACAGGAGCTCATCAAGGTCAGCTAGAGCTAACTGCCAGTCCCATCCCCTTTTTGATTTTTGATTTAGGCTGCTCTGCAGCACTCCAGCACTGCTACAAAGAACCTACCTTTTTTAAGGGCTATCTTCCATGAAAGACACTCCTGAAGAATCTTCAGTCTCTCTTCATCTGTTGCCTGTTTTCTGCTTTCTTCTTCCTCTTCCTTTTGCAAAGCTTTCCTAAACCCTTTTTCCTTTGCCTTGTTTTTAACGGAGCAAGTCATTTTCTCATGAATTTTCATGGTCTTCATCTTTTCACGTTCCTATAAGCAGTCAGTTATGTGGACAAATTGATAATCTGTTTTGTCTGCTGTGGCTTTTAATGACATCAAGTGTTCATTCACAGACTAGAAATTTGGAGCTACTAATAACCTGCTGATGTAAGTGCCCAAGTCTGGGTTAAGAGAGTCTCTTTAAACCCACTTCAGGGCTTTCTGGAAGGTGAAACGTTAACACTCAGTGCTTTCACATGGGCTGAGGTCTGTAATTCATTGCCCTCTGCACAGTTTGGGTGCAGGTTAGGCTGAGGGCATTGCTCAGCAGACATCCTTGGTGCCCTTCCTGCTGAGCTCTTCCCTGTACCTACTTAGTGACCTTGAATCCAAGCTAAAATCAGATTATCAGTCAGCTGAGAGGCTTGCTTAAGCTTGTCAGGAGGCTTCCCTTTGTGATTTAGTAACAAAGACCTCTTGCTTTCACATCACTGCTTGGCTTCTGCAGCTGCATCAACGCTTAGACCTCTCTGAGACATCATAACCTCTCTGTGACTTCCCAGTGCTGCTGGATCATGTGCCCTAGGGAAAATTCTCAGTGGAAATAAGGAAGACAGAGACATTCCAGAGACCCAGCTCTGTTGGGTTGTAATTCATTGCGACCTGGTGTAGGGATCCTGCTTTGGCAGGGGGGTTGGACTCGATGATCTCTGGAGGTCCCTTCCAACCGCTACAATTCTGTGATTCTGTATTGTTTTATGGAGAGAAACTTAAGGCATGAAGCCCATGTCCTCCTTTTTCCTAGGCCTGTTGAACTGAATGGAAAGAGACCTTGCACCAAAACTTTCTGTAGATAATCAACACTAGCAGCACTAGCAAGCATCTTCTCCAGAAACAGGAGGAAGTGGCAAATCTACCTTTGAGTATGGAAGCAAAATGACAGTGTGTAGGTAGTGTGATAGCAACTAGCAGGTCTGTGCTCACACTGCTCTGTGCAAGGTTAATCTCATATCATGGATCTCAGTGAATTTGTAGCTGATAAGGGTGAACCTGAGCTGAACTTAGCAGGTATTGTTTTTCTTATGCATGTATTTCTTATCCTTGGTCTGGTTTTACGTTGGTTGGTTGCCTGCCCTAGTGGACCCCTTGAGTAACACATGGGTGTAAAGAACCATGCATACATACCTCCTTTGCCTTTTTTCTTTCCTTGTTCCTTACTGCAAAAATATCAATATCTGGAGGAATTGTAAATGGATTTTTGTAAATGGATTCTTCATCCTCTTCTGGGAATTCTGCAAGAAATGGACAAAGATGTAGAAGATACAAGGCAAGATGTCAGAACCTAGTGCAAAGGGACTCTGATCTGCTGCATCTTGGCAACACGTCTCTTGAGTTGGCTTCTGGTTGGTGGCAGTTGACTGCTCGCTTTAACATTTTATATTAGCATTTAACAAACTCAGTCCAACATTAGCAACCTCAATATACTTAGTGCCACCTGGGTCTCTTCCATCTCTTGTTACTGGTTGGCATGTAGTCCTCTCAGGAGAGGCAATGATGTGAGTTTAAGATATAAGTCATTACTGTTAATATAAGCTTAAGCCCTTAGTCAGTTGTCAAAGCCTGAAGGCAATTAGTTTATCTGTAAAATAGGAAAGCTTTAGCCAGGCCTGATTCTGGAGAGCAGGGCACTGTTCACCCCCCTGCAAGGAGATGCTCGGCTTCATGATTTCATGATGGGATATAAAATCAACTTTGATAGATGCTCAAGCTCAAATTAGTATCTGAGTGATCAAGAAAAAAGGGAGTAAGGACCTCAGACCTTAGCTGTAGTAGGAGATCTATCGGAGGGAAGATTCATTCCTTTGCCTTTCTGCAGAGCTGTTGGTGGCAGAGTCAAGAGCTTCGTTCCCTTGCATTCTCTCTTCCTGTACCCTAACCTCATTTACTGAAGTCTTTGTTCACTGTTTTCCTCGGGCAGAACACTCACTGAAGCTTTTGGGAGCCTGTCTTATCTGATCATAGGCAGAAGAGTATGAACACAGACCTCTCTGACCAAAGAACAGAAAGCTGCTGGAACATCGTGACCTTACCTGACACAAGGTAGGTTTCCATTCCAGGTTTAGAAGAGAGACTCTCACAGACTGACTCTTCATATACAGATGGCATCACTGACTCTGGCCCAAAGAAAAGCATAAACAAATTAATCAACTGGGACCTGCCAGAGACTGATGCAGTGAGGTTTTACAGCAGTGATGGACCTCAGGGCTTTCTGGATCTTAACCACCGAGCTCCAGTTCTGATCCGAACACACGCTTTCATCTGCACATTGCTGGTTCACAAGCAACAATTTTACTCCCTAAAGCTCTCACCAGAAGCTGTTCCAGCACTGTAAGTGCTGTGGGTTTCTTGTGATAAGGCTGAATGATTGCTGGACAGCACAGACATGTTGTAGGAAATTTGGTCACGTTTAATTTTAGGCTGGCAAAGCGACGAAGATTAGTTTTTAGTCTCTCTGAATCCAGTCTCCTTTGTAGCCTTTGCTGCAGGTCCTAGGGGAAAAGGCATAATTGTAATGATCTCACTCACAGAGAACAGATAGATCATTGTTACAGTTATCTTTGAATCAAAAAAGGCAGAGCCCTGGTACTGATTCAGTTGATGTAATTCTGATGCTGTATTCCTGATCCACACGACCATAAGCACAGCAGAAAATATCCTCTTCCGCTTGAGCTAGTTTTAAGGCTATTTTAAAGCATCATTATTTGCTCTGAACAGCCTCCAGTTTTTATGTATTTTGAGCTAAACTCATATGGCCTAATTTCCCTGTATGTCCTTGGTGTGATGTGTTTCCTATTGGCTGTGTTTCTGCAGCTGCCCAATTAGTGTCTTATTCTTCAGGTGTCAGGCTTTCAGCACTGATGAGACAGTCTGAGGTAGAACTAAAGCAGTCTGTAGTGCACCCCAATGTTTTCCTCTCTTCTTTTCTGGTCTTGAAGTACCCACTCCAAAAGCCTTTCCAAATGCAGTGTTTGGTGAATACACTTTGTGAAATATGTGGGTTGATTGTAGCAAACACCTGAGTGTTTGGCCCTCTTAGAGCACACCTTGTGTAACCCAAAAGCCTTCCCATAAAAACCTTATTGTTCCACGGGCTTTTTCCAATTTCTGCCGCAAGGAATAGGACTGGAAAGCAGGACTGGGCAGAGGATACTGGCAGGTGGGAAATAATTTGTCAGTGAAGCTCCCTGAAATAAAAAACACTTTATATTACCTTTAGCAAAGGATACAGAGCCGTTTCTAAGATCAACTTATAAATATTCACTTTATGAAGACATTCTTGGTCTGAGATTGTTGATTTTTCTAATAGGTTGTTTGCACAGCACTTTGGAAACAATTCCAAAAGCTGCAGAAGCACTGGTTGTGCTAATTACAATTATTACACTCTATAATGCAAATAGAAACTGCTTTGTTGCTGGAATCATTTGGCATATATATCTCCCTGCCTCTTACATTTTTACGCTTCAGTAGCTACACATCAGCGTCCAGCAGGACGTGAATCAGATAAAGCATTCAGGGTTTTAATCTACAGAAACAGTTATTCAGTGATTTTCCCTTTCATCAAGCTGCTGTGCAGCAGAAAAAAAAGACCTACAGAATAACCAAATAAACATGCAAACAATTCTAAAAATGACAGTAGAAGATTCATCCACCATCTTCCCCCAGTACACGACAAGTATACTCAAATAATACACACTGTGCTGTAACTCGCAGAGATGGGAAGTGACTCCAATCTGTGGGGCACTATCCCACAGATGTGCCCCATCCCCCTGTACACCCCCAGCTCACACGCAGAGGCTGCTAACGCCTGAGATCTCCCATGAGACGCTCACTGTCTCCTCTTGTCTGAGGACAGCATTAGGTCTGACGCTGACAACAAAAGAAAATGATGTAGGTGCCTTCCCCTCATTATTTTTTGGCTTCTCACCCCATGGACTCCACGCTCCTCACAGCCACGGTTGGATGGGGACAGAGGCATGGGGACACGGCTGGCACTGTGCTGTTGATATTCTGTTTGTGCTGCCATAGAAACCTGGGCTCCCGCTGCCGGGTGACACGTGTAGCTGGGCTCCCTGTGTCTGGGACAAGTGTTCCTGGCCTGGTGCAGCAGAGAGAAGGCTCACAGGGTCCAGTTGCAGTGAGAAGCATCACGACACAGGTATTGCCATGCATTCCTAAGTTCTCGGGTACAAAAGGGGCTCAGGTGCTTAACCCCATCTCCACAGTGAAGCACTGGGATGTGGAACTGGGAGCTGGAGCCCTGGCAGTGGAAGTGACTGCAGTTTTTAGTCGCTGGCACAGGCTGCCCAGGGAGTGGTGGAGTCACCGTCCCTGGGGGTGTTTGAGAGATGTGGCACTGAGGGATGTGGTCAGTGGGGATGGTTGGGGTTGAATTGGATGGTCTTAGTGGTCTTTTCCAACCTAAATGATTTTATGATCCTATATGACTTGATAAACTATCAGTTGAGGAAAGTAATGTGTTTTAAGGAAGAAACGATCTCCGGTTTCTGTATTTTCTCTTTCCTGCTTCTGAGAAGACCAAATCAATTCCAAATGGATCATATTCTTTTTCAGAGTCTCTATTAAAATAATTTCAGCTTTTCAAAATAGCAGTTTCCTTTATTTACAGATAGGTTTCCAAACAGCTTTTTCCATCTGAATAAGTCATGCAATAAATAGCACGCTTTTCTGTAAGTGCAAAATCCCATTTGATTGTTTTAATTCTTTTCCGTGATTGCTGATTATCAAGAGATTGGATTTAGGCAACAGAAGGGAAATGCTTACAGAGAAAAAAAAAAATCTTTATTCTGTATATGAGTACTTTGATTCTTAGCACTGATACAAAAATCATAGGATATTTTTGATATATTTTAGGAAATTTCCCAGATGTAATGGGAGTATGTATCAAAAATAAGACTGTAGAATAATTTCCACTACCACAAAAATGATTTAGGAGTAAACTGTACTTAAAATTCACTTTTCTAAAGGTGTAATATCAAATGCTCTTTGTTTATAAATACCAGTTTATTACAGGATTACAAATTTGCAGTAGTAGCTATCACAGAAACAGATAACACAGAGAATGAAGGGATTGGAACAGCTACAGCTCTGTCTGGCCTAATCCCTACATCATGTAGAGCAATATATATCCATTGCTCTGTTTTGTGCTAAACTCTGACTTCCCAAAACTGGAACAGGGATTATTTAAAATCGGAATTGTGTTTTGGGAATGTTTGGATATGTGGAAGCTTCTCATGGTGTTGGTGGCTCATATCTCACACGTGCCATAAGCCACTTAGGCTTTTGTGTTTCCTTGAGGGCAAAGAAGTTTTTAAGGCCAGAAGGACATCTGGGGTCTATTCTTAGCCACCATTAACTTGGTTAATGAATGGAATGAATATCATGTGCACATCATGGGAAGGGCTGCTTGGTGGCATAGGGTGTGCAGCTGACTGGTGCTGTAGCTCATTAGGGATTTCTGGTTGTGCAATATTGCTTCAGGGCACTGCATTTTGGGCCTTATTAAATGCCTGGTCCGTGCTTCCCTGTTACAGATCTGGGAAGACAAGCTGTTTGCATGGTAAGAGTTGAGGATTGCCTCTTGTGTTTCCAGCAGGATGATGTCTGCAGACCCAGGGGCCTTTAGGGGAGGGTTTTGTTATGGCGTAGACTTGGGACTGCAGGATATTCTTGTCTCCAAATGAACTGTGGAAGTGGTGGAGTTGCAGTCTCTGGAGTTGTTCAAGAACCGTGTAGATGTGATACTTAGGGATGTGGCTTAGTGGGCAATATTGATGGTAGGTGCACATTTGGGCTAGGTGACCTTAGAGATCTTTTCCAACCGTAATGATTCTGTGATATGTTTATTTCTTTGCTCTCTGTATTTCTTCCTTGGAGGGAGTTGCTTGCTTTCTCTGCTCCTTTTCTGACGTGGGGATGCTGATCCTTACCCCACAGGTGCTGTGAGGGTTAATTAGTGTTGGCAAAACATTTTGAAACGGCTGATTGAGAAATGCTGCCAGAGATGAAAGCTAAAGAAGTATCTCGGTAAATAAATATTCCTTTGTAGTCTTATCTTTACAGGAAACTCCCTGTGTACCCAGGATACTGCACAGGTCACTGAGCAGCCATCTCCCCATTGCCTGAAGTCTTCTCAAGGAAACTCATTTGTTTAAGTTTTTCCACTTCAATTTCTTCAAAGTGAGCCCTGATATACAGCACACAAAGGGAACAACTTAACTAACAGTAAGTGGCACAGAAACACCACATTGATTGGTGGTTATTTTCCTTCTCTGGAGCTCTTGTTCTTCTGTTTTGTGCTGAACAGTGCATCTGCAGAACCCAGAGTATCCCAGGAGGAAGAAAGGCAAATCAGAGCCAGTTTCCAGGGTAGCACTCAAGGCAGGAGGAAGGGATCTACACTGAGTGTCCATAGCACATACAGTATAAGTGCTCTACTGGAGGTGGCCAGCTCTGTCTGATTGCAGTCTGAGTAGCGCTGCTGCTTAACCTTTCCCTTCATCTGAAGCTTTCTTCAAGGAGGCATTTTATCTCAAGGTGAATTGTTTTAGCTGGAGGCCAGCCACAGGTTGGCAGCAATCTTGTATTGCAGGGCTCAGTGACCCCCATTTCCCATCCTTTTATGTTATAGTGAGTTTTCCAGCCATGAGGAGTACCAAGAAGAGCCTCTGGCTCTTGAAGAAGAAATGCCCCCAGCGACTGCTCTGCAAGAAGACCTGCCAGCTCAGCTCTCATCTTGGCAAACAGGCTGATGGAGCAGGACTTATTCAGGTCATCCTGCCACTGGTCCTTACTCCCAGTGTCTTCCTGGGCTACCTCACCCAAAATGAAGACCAGAGGCCTTCAGTGGTCTTTCCCAAATGGCATTGCTTTGTGGCTCAGCCATCTCCAGCCATGTTTATGTGAGGCTTTGCTAGCTCCTGATCCCAGGTCCAACCTCCTGCTCCAAGCAGGGCTAACGTAGGCTGCCCAAGGCCTTTCCCAGCTGATATGAAAATCTCTGAGGATGCAGATTTCAGATGTTCTCCAAATAACAGAAGGTAGGTCTAGGAGGCTGAGCTTGGGCCCCTGAATGGCCCCACTGCCTTGCTTTGGTAATGATATAAATAAATGATATTGTTGCAATTTCAAGGCCAGTTCTGAAAAACTGTTTAGCCCTAATCCCAAATCGAAAAATAGTTCCAGCTTTCCCTCAAAGCTAAGTACATCTGGGGCCTAGGAGTTTGCATTTGGCCCATTGTAAAGAGAGCCACAGAGCTGAAGCCAAAGAGACTTGCCTAACCAGGGCTATAAATTCTTGCTATTTGCAGGGACAATTGACCCAGGAACATGAGGTTGCAACTTCGTGATTTTACATTAAGCTCTTAAGGCTCCATTCCAGCCGTTTTCCTGGCGCTTGCTTTGTGGCAAAACTACAGCTGCTGTGACTGCATGGGAACCAATCCAGCTGAAAAATACCCTGCCCGAGGAAAAGATCCTCTTATTTTGCTCACCATGATGGGCTGAGGAAGAGAAGCATGGGATGGTGGGATTGCTTCTGTCAGTGCCAGTCTGTGCTTAGGGAGATGGTCAAACTGCTGTTTGTGGTGGTGGAACCGGTGATCCCATGCACCCTGCACACATAGTTCCTTCGAAGGGGCATGTGGGTCAAAACAAGAAGGATTCCTAAAGTCATGGGTCAGGCTGATTTCTAAGAGCTGCAAAAGAGAGCACATGCTTTATGGCTCCAAACCATTTCTGCTCATGTGGAAAGGATTAAAGATAAAAACAACCCTGCTATTCACTTTGCTCCAGAGCTGTTTCAATCCTGTCTGTCTGTTGCTCCAGAGAAGCTCTGACAGGAGCTATTATCTGTGATCCAAAACTGTAGCTCATATCCCCAGGGTAGCTCATAGGATCTACCTTCTCTTGCCAGAGAATGAGGCATCGCTGGGTACCGGTCACAGTAGTTTGTAAATGTTTGGTGCCAGCCTGGCTGTTTTCTTGCAGGACCCTCCAGTTTACATCTCTGCTCAAAATGTGGAGCTGTGGGGCTCAGCAAAGCACTGATACCACACATGGAGCTTCTTGTAGCTGTGCAGCTGCAATCACGGATAGTGAAAACTCATGCAAGGGCAGCCTTGTTACTTGGAAATGCTAGAAAGTTTCCACATCCTGTTCCTATCCCATTGACTGCACCTGAGTGAATGCCCACTGGTTTTCTCCACCAGGACGTCAGCAGATCCTGTAGTTTGTTTTGCACTGAAATGTCTCTTCTTGGGTAAATATTACATCTGAGGTTGCTTTGCCAGTGGCTTTCCTACCCGGAGTTTGTACAACAGGTCAATGCCCTGCTCAGAGATAAAAGGAATACTTGCTGTGGGTGCTGTTTGCTGCTCTGCAATGCCACTCTGCTGTTCCCTCACCAGTTTCTCTTTAAAGGTTTCTGAATGCTGCTGAAGTCCTGGAGGTTTTAGCAAAGTGAGGGAAATTTAAGACGAGCCATCGAGGGCTTGGACAGAGCAGAAGGGCAGAGCAGGAGTTTGTTTGTTCCAACAGCCGTGGCTTGTAAATTATTCATCTGTGTGCAACTGAAACATGCAGATCCTCAAAGGTTGCGTTACAAAGGGTGAGGTGAAGGATCAGCAAGCTTCGAGCAAAACAGGAAGGTTAACAGGTTCTGGGGAGCCCTTCTCCTTCCACTTGCATCTGCTCAACAAAAATGCCTGCTTGCAGAAGAAAATTGAGTCGCCAGTAAATGAAACAATGCACTAACACAGAGATGTGTGTACGTGGTAGGGAGGCCAACTGCAAAAACAGTTTTCCCTCTACTGGAAACAGATTTGAAGCTGATTGCAATGAAATGTATGGAGAACCTGTGAGCACCGAATGCACAAGAGGCTCTAGCCTCTGTGAAGTGGGGAAAAAGTTTCCAAAGATCAAGAGAGATCAGAAGAGCAGGCTAAGCAGAAAAGAAGCCAGCGTGCTTCTGCTCAGCAATTCTGTCTCCAGACGAAACCAGACTTCAACTAATTAAAAAGAGCAGATGCTAGCTGGAACATTAATTGGAACAACTATATTTTGACTGTGCTTAGGTCTATTTTAGCTCTCTTGTTGTAGGTTTGGAGAGAGGTAAGTAACTCTTTAGCAGGCCTCTTGTTTTGTTACACACCACATACTTAGGGCATAATGAAATATCTATGAATAGGTTTGGATCCTCTTTTTTCAGGGGCAAACAATTCTCCATCTAATAATGCACAGCCATCAAACTCAGCATTCTCAGCCCTTTTTTCTCACGGTACTGGTAGTAAAGTGATCTTCCTTGGCTTGGGGAGGCCTTGTAAGCAGTGCTGGGCATGGGGCCAGCTGCTGTTCTTCCTGATATGTATTGTATTAATGGACACCTCTTTAACCTGTGCACATTTGCTTCTCTCTGCCTGTGTCCCTTCTCATTAGGCTTGTGTGCTCTGCAGAAAGTGCAGAGAGCTTAGCTGACATCTGATACACTTATAAATAGCCCGTCTGCCCTGCTATGGTTCTGCAGCTATCCCAACATGAGCAAACACTCAACGTATTGCACTCTTCCTGGAACTGGGATGCTATCGAAGATTTTCCTCCAATACATCCAAACTTTGCCTCTGCTGGAAGCCGGACACTTGACTGCTGCTCTGTTACAGATTGGCAGTTCTTTGGTCTTGTCCTTGTCTCCAATTCCTTCCTAAGAGACAAAGGAAAGGCATCATCTGAGTAACAAGGCTCTATCACTACTCCTGTCCTTCCTGCTCCAGTGCTGGGTGCAGACAGGGGCTCAGTTGGTTCAAGCTCTTGTCCTCAGAGCCCTCAGCAGAGGGGATGGGTCCTCCTGAGCTGTCACCCTCTTTCTTTTCCAAGGCAGGGCAAAAGTCCCTGTCCTGTAACACAGAACCGGTCACATTCTAAATGGTGCTTGTCCCCTGTGCCTTTACAGACAGGACCTAAAACCTCCTCCCCTCCTCTGAGCATTCTCTCATAGCAGTGCTGCCAACACTAATTCTAGTGTAACTTCATTTTTTTTGGCTGTTCTCTCTTCCTAGGTGTGAATGCTGTCATTGCTGAATGACACCTGCTCCCCATGGGTCCCTTTGGTTTGCAGAAAAACCCTTTTTTCCTCACAGCTCAGATGCAGACAGATGTCTCCTGAGGTTGATGCCTTAGGTAAGTGGCTCCGTCTGACTTGGTTCTCATTGCATTGAGCTCTCTGCCCATCCTCCTTCTGGAGGTGTCTTGTTGACTACTGAGGGCTTAGTGACTGGCTTCCATGCTGCTATCTGATTTTAGGGGTGAGGAGATAAGGTTAATTGATGTTTTCCTCCTTACGTTTACTTCCCACATTGCACCAGCATCTCTCCTTATCAGCACCCATGTGCTAAACACAGCTGGGCTGCCTGGAGCAAGCACCAGCATTGCTGCCTTTGGGCTGGGGGCTGCTCCTCCACAGGTTTTGTGATCTCTCCTTGAGTTGATCCTAGCAGCTACATCTAAATGGCCACACCAGAGATAGTAGGTGAACTTGTCATTGAGGGAACGGGAGCAGTGGTGCTCAGAACTTCTGATGGGAGCTGCTTTCAGGTACAGCAGCAATCTCACTGGTGACTGCAGACTTGTGCCAGATGAAACCCTCAACCCTGAATGCCTCTTCTGTTCTTGTTCCAGCACAGCTTCTAAATTAGAAACCCTACTGCCTGCATATAACATGAGGAGGGATTTTGCAACACTGGAAGGCTGAGGCACGGCACAGGGATGACAGTCATTTCTGTTGCTGAAGAGGCTTGATTGCATTCAGGTGCCCACTGAAATGGTTTCCCTTCCCATCCATCTCCCCAGGGGTTTTGAAATGTTGGCTCTGCTCAGCTGGTGCCAGAGGAGCAGCTCGGTGAGCTCTCTGCTTTCCCATCACTTTTCCCCCTGCCAGCAGCAGCGTGTCCAAAGTAAATCACGACTTTTTGGAGCAGCTTTGGTTCAGGCTCAGACTGGCAGCCTCTGTGTCACTGGGAAACATCTTGATACAGCAGCTAACGTTCAAATTATAGGAATGCAGCAGGACACTATCCAGGCATGGAGAAGAGCCTGCAAGTGCTTGCTGTGCTGCACGCTCTCCAGTGTCCTGCCACGTGTTACACAGACTGAAGTTTGCTGATCCCAAGGCTGTACCCTGCAGTGAAAGCCAGCTGGTGCCTGTCCTTCAGATCCAGCCCCTCTGGCCAGTATCCCCTTTGCAAGTTTCCCAAACAGAATTTAATGAAGCTTGTTAAAGCTGCTCAGATCAGTGGTGGCTGTGGGAAAGGCTCTTGAAAGAATGCTTAGAGTTCTGTTATCCTCATATTTAGTTTCCTGTAGACTTTTCAGTGCTAACTGAGCCTGAGCTATGGCTAAGCCATTCTCAAGGGCTAGTTGAAGTCTCTTGTTTATTTTCTTGATGCTTTTCCTAGCATCTTGTAAATCATCTTCTGTCTTTGGCAATGGTAAAGTGTGAAGCAAGCAGTTTCACCACTGCAATATATCCATGTTTTGTTGCAGCAGGAGGAACAGAGCCCAGTTCTTAACTGAAGGTCTCAAGTTGTTTGGGATCAGCCCAGTGAGAACTGCAGCAGTTTGACTGATCTACCTTCCATGCCCCATATGCTGTGTTAGATCTGGGACTTTGCGCACTGTGGGTCATAGTGCATTCTCTTTTCAGAGGTGAATCCTGCAGCTCCATCAGTGTACAGTTGCTCACTGTTGCCCCTTGGAGCAGCCCACGTGGCTTGTCTGCAGGCACGTGGCCTTGTAGCCAGCCAGAGAAGCTCCTGGCACATCTTCCTCTTGAAGGTGGGGAAGAGAGAGGAGGAGGCTGCAGTAATTGAGCTGACAAAACTTTTTGTCTACTGTCTCAGCGGGCTCCAGAGAGGGCTGAGAAGTGCCAAGTTCTCTGCCTGGCCCTGTCCCATGCAGTGGCCGCCTTCCAACGCGGCTCAGGAGCCTCTGCTTGAGGTGACTTCTCAGCATTTTTATTCCTTTCCGCACCTCTTCTTTTGGGTTGCTGAAACTTTCCTGCTGGCTTGTGTTTTTATGAGGACTTGTCTCACTCACTGAGCTTGGAGGGCTGGGACACCTCTCCATCCCCACTGTGCCTCACCCATGCTGCACAGCCCGCCCTGCTGCTGCTCCATCCTCCAGGACAGAGGCCCCTCTGCTGCTCGTTTCTCTTGGCTGGATGGAACTGCCAGCTCTCAGCCTTTTCCTTGGAGGTGGCAACCCATGCCTGAGTCCAACATTGAGCCATTTGCTCCAATGGAGCTGTCTGGGAACCCTTAGGCCTTTCTTTGCTCCTGCCTGTGTCAAGCTCTTTCCATGCCTTTTGCACCTTATGCTCTGATTTCTCCCAACCCCTGCCACAAAATATCATCGTCTTTTGGCTTCCCTTGATTCCTTTATCCCAGAAAAGACATAAACATCTCCAAGCACAAATTCTTCTCAGAAGGAGTGATGATGCATTGGCACAGGCTGCCCAGGAGTGGTGGAGTCACCGTCCCTGAAGGTGTTCAGTAACCATGGAGATGTGGCACTGAGGGACACAGTCTCGTGGGCAGTATTGGTGGTGATGGTTTGATGGTTGGACTGGATGGTCTTAATGGTCTTTTTCAACCTTCATGATTTTATGATTCTATCCCATATGCCTCCCAGATTTTGGTAACCTTTACTTCTTTTGCCCAAGCCCAATTGCAGTGAGCACTGTAACAAATTAAAGTGGTGTTCAAATCCTCTCCTGCCTCACGCAAACAGCTCAGTTTGGGAGGGCAAACAGTTCTTGCATCCATCATTTTGTTGCTGCATGCTGGTGTCCCCTCTATTTTAAAATGTTTTTGCCTGAAGACAAATAATCATACAGCTTTCTGAGCAGCCTGACACCCATTTAATCTATTTCTGTGCAGTGAAGGCCTGATCTGGCAGTGCTGAGCCAATTCTCTGCAGGGCAGAGCTGGGCTTGATTCCTCAGTGAAATCTGTTTCGGTGTTGCACAACGAGCCTGTTCTCAGGGAGGGGGGACTGTGTGCAATGTCCTACCCGGACAGACACTGGAGTCTGATTGTGCTGGAATGACGTCAAAGGCTGCAATACTGTACCTCAGTCTGGCACTGGGCTGCTGCTGCAGCTTTTCTGGAGGCCACACTGCTTCCACCTTTGCACACTGGATATCCACTTGCACATCTGGCCCTTCCCCACACAAAATTGCAGTTCTAGCAAATGGAATTTGCTTTAAAAAGGACCGCTCTTGTGTTTCAACCTATGACTGGGATAAAACTCCAGCAGATGTGCAGCCTTTCCCATGTCTGGGGCTCAGGCTAGCACGAGTGGATGCCAATTGCCATGGAGCTGCAGCAGCAAGCACCACAGAGAGGGCCAGTAAAGCATGGTGCTCATCCCTGTGGCACTGATGGAGAGAACATGAACACGTTATCTACTAGCAGCTGCTGTGAACACTTACTGCTGAGTTCTGCTGAAGGCAGACAGATAAAGCAGCAGCCTCAGCTTGCATTCAACCATGGTGTAATCAGGATGACACATATGCAGCTGTTTGCAGCAGGGTGCTGTGGGGAGGGGTAAGACCTGAATGTACATCTGAGCAGGTGTCAAAGACCTCCATCCCATCAACCCACAGCACCCCAGCTTCTTGCAGTCCCCACAGGCTACAGCAGGACAGGCAAGTTGTGAAACACGTGGAGCTGCTCTGTAGGAGGGGATCTGCTGTGGCTCAGCACTGCGTATATCTCACCTTTACCAGACCTGGTACAGCATTGCTGACAGTGCACATCTGCCAGGCCTGGGTTGAAACGAGCTGATTCCAACCTTAAGTTGTTGAGATGACGCTTCTAATTCAGCTGTGTGTTTGGCTGTGTGCTGGCCCAAGCAGCTGTCCATCTTGACAACTCTGCACATAGGTCAGAAGGAAGGAAAGAGCGTTTGACAGTTTCAGTTTTCTTATGAATGCTCAGGCAGTTCTTAGATCGTTCCTAAAAAGATGCTGACAGATTAAGAATGGCTCCCAAGATTTTGGAAATGCTTGAGTATTCCAAGTTTAAAGTCCAACAGGATTTCCAGTCTGACTGTGGCAGTGCTGTGTCCTCTCCTTCAGGCAGAATTAGTGCCCAGCAGAAGCTGGGCAAGGGGCAAAAGCAGCAAGGGGAATGGGAAAGTAACAAAGAGGTGACCTGAAATGTTAGCAGGAGCATTTATGAGAGTTCATGAAGTGAAGATACTGGAAGATTTAAAACTGTATTAAAAAAAAAATTTGGTAGAGTTTAAATAATCCACATACATTGATTTTAGCATGTAGGAGCAGAGAGAAGGATATCATCCTTAAAAAAAAAAAAAAAAAAAGGTAATTTTGTGCTGGACAAGTCTTGAAGGTAAATATTTAATTACAGGATCGATTTTGATAAAGACACAGAGTTTGCAATTGATTTCTTCATCCTCTTCTGTGCCAAGCAGTGAAATTCCTGGTTAGTACTGACTGTTGCAAATAACATACACTTTTGATTGTAATTGACTTTGCACGCTAAAAGAGAGAAACGATGTCTTAGAACCAACCTCATTTCTGTCCTCTCAGATCAGTGATAACTCTCTTATTTCTGGAGTAAAAACAAAGTCAGTGTCTTGACTGGTCACCATAGCTGTGTTGTGAGTAGGGCTGACACTGTGATACTTTGCAGAGCAGAAACTTGTCTGTATTTACCTTGGGGCTGTGATATCAAGACAGGAATTTGCTTGCAAAAGGGAATTACAATAGTGAAGTTTAGCTAAGCCTGACAAGTTACCAAGATCAATGCTTAACTGTAAAAATGGAGGTGATGCTTGTTGAGCGACAGGAGCTGTTGTGCTATGCAGACGAGCCCCACTGCATCCACTTGTTCATGAAATGCTCACAATTAAATACAGGCTCAGGCCAAAAATAAAAATAAAAATCCAGACACTTGGTCAAACACTGGGTGATGTTCAAAGGTTTAGAGCCATCTCTCTTAATTTTAGGAAAAAACTGAGTTAGCATG